CGGGAAGCAAATCCAAAGCTTTATATAGAACAGCTCATGATAGCAAAAAAAAAGGGAATTTGGTTCGTAACATTCTCACTGCCTTGGCAACAAAGACAGCTAAACCAAGGTGAGTGGTAGCAAGTCTTTCAAGTTTCATGTTGGAACATCCGCTGCCGCCCCCGTTGGCGAAACCATGAGCTGATAAAATAATCATTCTCTGACACCTGTGAGGCTTCTGCCATGTCATCCTTAATATGCTTCTAAAACCATTGTTTAAATGGCCTAGAAACACAAACTGCTGTGACGGTGAAAGCTATTGCTGATCACTGTGTGTTACTGTACAGGCTACTCTTCATTTGTTGCTGCTTTCAGAAGGGAAAGACGAAATGTTAAGATGAAAGTCACCTGTTTAGGTGGCATTTGTAGCAGCAGTTGTGTACATTTTAATTGGGATATTTTCCTGTACGCAGAATTTTACTGGGCAACAAGAGAGAGACTAACTAAAACCAGATGGCATCAAGGACATAATTTAATTGCATTATTGTCATCCATGTTGTTAGCGTTTGCGCATGTGTGCACACGCTCATGCTCATTCTCTCTCTCTCCAGAGAGAGTACTTTTCTATGCTCAGCCCTACAAAATAGCATCTAGTTGAATTTTACAGCCTCAAGTAGCCCAAATTACTGGCCTTAAGAAGTAGAATCCCCTATCTATTTAGAAAACCAGAGCTTTGATCTTACTGCATTTGCAGTATGGACCTGGCAGGCACCTGTACATTTATGGAGCTATGAGGCAAGTATTTTGGAGGGGCAAATGCTGAGTGTTGTATGTAGCTCGGATCCATTCTGTATTTGAAAACGAGTTTTCTGCACTTCAGGTAAAGCATGTGTTTGTAAGAACGGGTTTCGGGAGCGTTAATCCCTGCACACACGCGCCATCTGTTCGTGGATTCCAAGGATTCACAAGCCAGCTGCTCTTGAGATCCAGTTCCTCTATTGTCTGTTATGTTGTGAAGTGTGCTAAAATAGAAAAAATACTGTTTATGTAGTGCTTTATTTTCAGCTCAGTACAGATATTAAGCCTCACAATTCCCGTATCAGAAAAGTATGTCAGATTACCTAGTTGAAGCACAAAGACCTGAGAATGATAAAGAAAAGAATAATTGCTGTGATTTAAAGTTGATACTTCCCCAATGTCCCATCTACAAACACGTCATTTAATTTTCTGCTAAGTTTCCCCCCACATGCACCAGTATCTCCCCCCGTACCGTTCACAGGTGAACAGAGCCACTTTGGATCCAGGCAAGAAGGCTGGCTGCCTTTGGTAAGACTATCAGGGTTTTTCAAGCAGTGGACTTCCTTCTCTGTGTGCAGCCTCTGCCAGCCTCCCAGTCTAAAAAACGGGGGGAAAAGCCAAATCTGAGTTTATCTCACCCCCATCAATGCATATTATGGTTATTTGCTAACCACCACTGAATTAGCAAAAACTAGAAACTAAAGACTGCAGAGAACAGTTTTATTTACCAGTAAATCGTTATGAGGCAAAGGCTCTGCAAGCTCATTCTTACCCAAAATCGGATGCTGGGGCGGGGAAAAAAAGGAAGTTTTAACTGACAGACTTCAGAGAACGTGGCTGCTGATTATGCAGAGTGGATTGAATACTTAAAAAATAAATTGCCATGTAATAGTTTAATACTGTGCCAGCACATGCTTTTTTCAGTGCCTTGAGAACTATATATTACATTTTGAATCTTCTAATATAAATTCTTGATTAATGTCGCATTCAGAAATGGAGCTTTGCAGAGCTATTCTTTATCCTCCTCCTCGCTCAGAAATTGCTTTCTACTGATGAGACCACTATGATTACAAATAATCTCTCTTTCTCTCTTCTCTGCTCCTAGTTCTTTTGGTCTTGCTGTGTTTTGGCTTCAGACACTTAAATAATATCTGGCTAATAGCTCTGCATTAGTGCCCTGTGCTCCTGGGTTATCTCCCCCTCCACTGCCTGTCTTCTGGTGGCTAGACCACAGCCTTCTCTGGGCCCACTCTTCATCATCTGTGCTGCAGCTGTCACTTATCCTTTTCACAAGTTATCTTCACCACGTCCTTTTTTAAATGTGATGACATGCCAGGAATTATCCATCCACTGCCCCTGAAGCAGAAGAGTGTTTAACTTGCCAAAAGTAAAGTGCACTTTCAACTCTGCAGTGGTCTGGCTTGTTCTGGGAAAACTGAGTTGTCACGTGCCGCTGGTGCTGGTCAGCCACGGTATGAAATGCTTCTTTACAACAACTGCAACTCCTCATCGAATCGTAGTGGTTCACATTTATGAAACACTTGTTTCTTCTTCACCTGGAAATGGCCCTCTTGATGAGTCTGAATGGGGGCTGCCATACTTATGATCCTCTTTTAGCTACTTGGAGGCATCATCTTCCCCAGCTAGGCAGCAGCAGCCTTTTCAGACTCCTGTTACAATCACCCTTTCATGACAGCTTTCTTCTTTTGCAGTCATTTAAAATGATATTTCTAACTGTTTGATGCTATTAATTACTAGCTGTCGCTGAATAGGAATTAATGAACATGGATGTGAAAAATACCTTGTTCAATCCTTTTCTGCTCACTAGTATTTTTACCGTTTGCATTCCAGTAGTGTCTCCTGGCCTCGCATCAGGTTGAGATTCCCAGAGTGCTGGGTGCGGTTCAACTTGCGCCGTGCTGGCTGTCCAAAGAGGTTATAAGCTAAATAGCTGTTCCAGTGCATTGCAGCTTTTGTTCAGTTGTTATGGTTGCTGGTCACATTTCTAGACCCATAGGTCCTATCGTACGATAAGTTGGAAAGAAAACTGTGGGTGTAAATTTAGTGCCCTTTTTGTTATGATTCACTGGCACACATCTTACCAGCCACTCTCTTTGTAGGCTTTAAAAACAAATGATCATTAAATCCCTTCTACCTAAAGACTTGGGCATTCTGATAGAGTACATAACTTTAATTTGCAAAGCTCACTGAACCCTAGTTAATGCGCTTTCTGGGAAGATGACGGGGTACAATAGATTGCTTTGTACCCTTCTGTCAGAAGAACGAAGCAGTAATGCAAGGGCTCAGTTATTTGCGTGCTAGAGGGGCAGTGGTTATCTGGAGATGTGACAAGTTTGCTAATGATACCTGGCAAGAGTGTCTCGGAAAGGAATAATTGTAAAATAGATTTCCTGTAACACAATATTCTTTTTAAGAAAACATTATTATTATTATTATAACACCAGGGATGCAGAATCCTAGTCAGCAGCTGGTCTTGTATAGGTCCCAGCCACGTGCTCAGTTTAAGGCGTGATACAAGCTAGCTGCAAAGTTATACGTGGAATAACTTTGTGGCTCATTTACTGCATCACACCCTGAGTTGAGTTGCATGTGTGGTTGGGTTACTGTTTAAGGCGTAGTTGACCTGTAAATCGCACCTTAAATGTAACATGTCAGGGGCTTTAGATACCTAATTTAATGATTCAAATTCAGTAGGCAGTGTTGTCATGGCCTGACGGATGTGTTGCCCTTCAACTGGTAATTACTTGTAATATTAATATTTTGCATTTCAACAACACTTTAATCCTACCTATAGGTCTCAGAACACGTTTAAGGAGTATTATCACCACTTTACAAGTGGGTAACTGAGGCTCAAGGACATGCAGCAAGTTGGTGCTGATAAGAATTTGGGATCGAACACACAAGTTCTCATTCCCTGTGTTCATTCTGTTATACTGCAGCCTCGTTTCCTGATTAACTTGATTAGCTCATCTACTTGGGTTTTGTATATCTTGGGTCTTTGGCAGTTAAGATCTGATTCTTTTAATTGCAACAGACAATTAAAGCAACATCAATATGTATGCTTTGTAGAAAAAGCTCCAACTGATTAAGGGAATTCAAAATGTACTGTTTTTACTTAAACCATTCTTATTTTGCATTACACATGTAGTTAGATAAAGCAGTAGGATATACTACAGAAAAATAGTTGGCAGAATAGCGGAGTAATGTCTTTTATTTGCGGGGGGCAATAGGTTTTGTCTTACTCCCAGAGTTTTTTTTTAATGCATGCCATTCTGTTCTAGTCTATTAGAGGCAAAAAAAATCACAGTATCAAAGGTCTTCAGCACACGGATATAATTTAAGATTGTTATCTAGCTGGACTGGAAACAAATATGCAAACGATGCATTTTAACCTCTACCAACCTGGTATATGCAAAACTTTCCATCTTGATCCATCTTCAGGATATTCATTACTTTCTCTGGAATCTGTTTATGTATTGTCACTAGATAATAGATTGTTTTTGCTGACTGATATACCGTAATAATAAGTAGGTCTTGCATTATGAGCTAAGGGCATTACAGGCTTGTGTACACCAGGCACATCCCAGTACAGAGTAGGAAAGCTGGTAGAGCACATGCACAGGTTCTCGAGAGGGGAATTACTTCAAGGATTAGTTGACAAGCCTGATCAGCAGGGCCTGCTAGCTAGAACAGCCATTTAAAGTCTGCCTGGAGGAGTTTGTACATCTGGAATTTGTACTTCAGAAACATTTGCATAAAAAACTGATAAAACCTGAATGAGGTTTGACATTTTCATAAAAAAAATTGTGTCTGCTTTCTTATCAATCACATGGTAGTTTTGTAGTCTGAAGATTGTACCTGTCCTGCCCAAAATGAATGAGCCTTTTCCCAGGACCTCTTTGTCCAATGTAAGGCAGGATAAGTGGTCATGAAATTATCTAGGAGTCAGATCCTCAGCTGGGATAAATCATTGTAGCTCCATTTAGGTGGAAGTCACTGAAGCCATTCCAGTTCATAGCAGCTGAGGAGTTTACAAGGGCCTTTCCCATTCCAACTAGTGCATTTAAAAGCCCACAGCTGTAATTGCCTGTTTGGGATTTTGCAGAGGTGTTTACATGATGAAACAACTTTGTTGTTGCTCTGATCAGCAGCTGAAATATTTTCTTCTAGTTTTTCATTACATTTTTTTTTTCTGTTTTAAGGAAAAGTCATCAACAAAGATTTGCGTCACTATCTGAGCCTGCAGTTCCAGAAGGGCTCCATCGACCATAAACTCCAGCAGGTGATCAGAGACAATCTCTATCTGAGAACCATCCCATGTAAGTATATCACCGTGCAAGCAGAAACCAGGCTGTTTTGGTAAAACTCCACCTGCTTTAAGAACCTTTAGCTCTTTTCCTTTGATCCCATTGTATTTTATGTTCTC